AATAAAGTTCTGAGAAATATGAGCTCAGAGGAAAAATAAAAAAGCATATAAGGAGACAAGGCACTATGAGCAAAAGCCAGCAGGAACAACAGGCCACAGAACCACCAGCAAAGATCTTAGATGTGGGAATTATTGATTATAAAATATAAATTAAGCATGTTTTATATATTTAAAGAAAGAAAAGTGGTGACTAAACATTTAAGGTACAAGTGATTATGAAAGGTGAACAGGCACATTTGAAAAACAACCAAATAGAATTTTTTAAAAAGTCAAATATAAAAATTCAAATAAAAACTCAAATGATGGTTTAAAGAGAGAAGTAGATATAAGTGATAAATCCATGAGCAGGAAAATAGGTCTGAAGAAATATTCCAGAATGTATAATGCAGAGACAAAGAGGTAGAAAATATGAAAAACAGGTTAAGAGGCATGGAGGACAGGGTGAGAAGGTCTAACATATGTCTACTTGGAGTACTAGAAGAAAAGGAGAGAGAATGGAGGAGAGGAAATATTTGAAGAGATAATGACTAAAAAAAATTTAGACTTGATGAACATACATGCATAGTTCAGATTCAGGAAGCCCAATGAATGTATAGTGATATAAACAAATTTTTGCTTAGACCGATAGTAGTGAAACTGAGAAATACCAAAGACTAGCGGGAGCAGATGATATTCCCAGCAGCTGGGATGGGTATGCTTTCTATCAGCCTTGAAGAGTGGATCTGGGCAGAGTGCTATACTATCCACTACAAATTTTCATAATATTAAGTAAAGAAACACAAGGTAGAAAATTGTATTTACAGTATGATTTCAATATTTTTAAATGGGCATATAAAAACAAAAATAACTGAAAGAAAATATTCAAAAGGTTTTGTCTTGGTGTTGGAATAATGGATAACTTTTCTTTTCCCTCCAACCTATATCTTATAAACACATACAGAAAACCTTAGAGTACTTTATAGAACACATAAAACCATTCCACTGATTCCTCTCTATGAACTGTTCAAATTGGTCAGAAAGTTAACATCGGTGTCCTTCAATAGGTGAATGGATTAACAAGTTGTAGTACATCCAAACAATGGAATGTTACTCAGCAATAAAAAAAATGATCAATCAAGCAACAAAAAGATATGAAAGAACCTTATATGCATACTAGAGGCCCGATGCACGAAATTCGTGTACTGGGGAGGGGGGTGTCCTTCAGCCCAGCCTCTGCCCTCTCACAGTCCAGGAGCCCCTCGATTGATTGGCCCACAGAGGGAGGCCCTGCCCACTGCTGCCAGCCAGGTAGCCTGGGCCTCCCTCTGCTGGGCGATCATGGGGCGATGGTGGGGTCCCCCGACCAATCACATCACACCCACCTTGGCAGCGGCAGTCAGTGCTGGGTCGCCATAGCGCCCGCAACCCAGGAGGAACCGAGAGGTCAGCAGTTCAGCCCGCTCGCCAGTCCCCGCCCACCCGAGCCTGCTGCACCTGCAGCCTGGCATTTGGTTGTCCGTTCGGACGTTTTGGATGTTATGGACCCTGGATCTTTATATATTAGGATTGCTAAGTGAAAGAAGACAATCTGAAAAGGCATACACTATATGATTCCAGCTTTATTGTATTCTGGAAAAGACAAGACTATGGAGACAGTAAAAATATCAGAAGTTTCCAGGGGCTCAAGGGAAGAGAAGAGGAAGGATGAAGAATGGTGGAATTATTCTGTATGATTCTGTATGAAAACATGGTGGATACGTGTGCATTTGTTAAATTCTATTAGGACTGTATATTGCAAAGAGTGAATGTTAATGTAAATTATGGGCTTTAGTATTGATTTATCAATTGTAAAAATGTACCACACTAATGCAAGATGTTAATAATAAGGAAAACTGTGTGCATAGAAGTGGGGATATATGGGAATTCTCTACACTATCTGCTCAATTTTTCTGTAAATCTAAAACTTTTCCGAAACATAAAGTCTATTAAAATATAAAAATAAAAAAGTGAGCCTCGGCTTCTGTAATCTACAAAAGGCAACACATTTAGCAGTAGTTGAGACAGAACAGGCTCAGCAAACTGAGGTGAAGAGACCTCTTTATTAAGGACTGAACAAAGCCCTTTCAGGCCGCTGTGAAATATTAGAACATAAATCTACAAATAAACAGCTGCTTTGTGTATGGCTGCTTTGTTAATGGGTATCACAACAGCTTGACTCCTGATTCAGGATTCTTGCTGTTTCCTCAATGAACCATGACACAACCGTTGAGTCTTGCTCTATGAATTCATGGAATGGCAGGGAATCTGGTCCTGTGACAGGACACTTGATAAACAAACGAGGCAAATTGGAGCTGATTCTGCTGGCGACTGCCAGTGCTGGAGCCATTTTTTTCCTTCTGGCACCTACCCTAAGTTCTGGCATCTACTCTTATTTTTCCTCCCAGGCCAACTGCAAAAAAGACTTGACCTCAGTTGACCCAGAATGTGGAAGAATGTGTATGCATTGAAAAGTAACCCAGTTAGCTGACAAAGTTAATAAATTTTCATAATAATTCATTCAGTACCACCCAGTGAGAGTCCACACTTTGAATATTTTCTCAAAGGCAGTGAGAAAATGAGAACTTGTTTATTACCTCTGGTTCTTGAAAGAAAACATGGTCTCAGATAGAGCTTCCATTTCTATTGTTGATCTGCTTAAACGTTCAGACGTTGAAATTCTTCATTTATGTTTATTCACTCAACTAACATTGGTGAACTCCTATTATGTGACAGGCACCTTATGCATAGATTTGTGGGTGGGGAGGCTACACGAATACGTGCTCTACTACAGTATCAGTGTGTGTGTGTGTTGGGGGGCCGGGGGGCGGTAAAAAGAACCTTTTTATTTTCCATGCTTATTTTTGCCTTGACTATAGAGAGTATAACTCGTTCCTGCCCTTCCATTCTTCTTTCCACCCTTTCCTGCTTTTCCCTGGGAGCTGAGACCTATCTGATCGGTAAGATTATAAGACTCATCCATTCAGGGCAATGCTATCAGTGGACAGACTATCAATTACAATCAAGAAAACTTTCTTGCATTCTCTTTTCTTTAATTCATGAAAAATCTGTTTTTATGCAGCAGAGACAGAAATTTCATCTTATTTTTTCCCAATTAGATAGCCCTTTATTTTATTTTATTTTATTTATTTTTTGATTTATTGATTTTCAGGGAGAATTTATATTACTAAGTGACCATTTGAATGTTCAGTAAAAAGGAGAGGAATCAAAGATTATTCTTAATGGAATTATGAGGCTTCTAAATGGTTTAGGTATGATAACTCCAAGTCAACACAATATAATCAGAATACAATGTAATCAGAATACAATCCATGTGTTTTGCATATGCCAACTCTATAGCCTTCTACCAAATGTTTGATAATTATAAGCAATGTTAAACTTGTTTGCTATATATTTAGAGGGACAAAGTGTTATAATGATTGTGATAACTTGTGAGACTCCAGAGAAAAGCATATTTTTCCGAAGACAGAAAATTGGAATTAGTGATGAATAATTGTGAATCTTCTGCTCAAGTTCATGGTCAGCACCTGATCAATGATCTTATTCCTGTCCCTAATGGTTCCTTCGCTTAGTCAACTTAATACATTGGAGCACTATTCAGGGTAGTTGAAGTGATTTCATCAGAAAGCTGGTTGGTAATGCAAACAATATGCAGGATTTAAAAATTCTTCATACCATACAGTAAGCATTTTTTCCTACTTCTAATATGTTTCTGGTTTTATTTATTACACTTAAATTCAGCTGGAATTTATTTGGGTGTAAGGAGTGAAGTAGGACTCTAACTCCCCCGCCCACCCCCCTTCCAAATTGCTAGCCGGTTATCTCAAAACGATTCAATGTTTAAGAATGTAATTTAAAAAATGTCTATGTGCCCTAAATGCTATGAAAATAGAATACTAATGAAATCTTGGAAATAAATTGTGGCATGATTTTCTGTTTGCAGATGTTTTTATTCCAATTAAGATAAATTCAAGGCTTAATGAGGACTTGCAAAGAAAAAAATTTAGCCCCACTGGCCTGGCTCAGTTGTTGAGCATCAACCTATGAACCAGGAGGTCATGGTTCAATTCCAGGGTCAGAGCACATGCTCAGGTTGTTGGCTTGATCCCCAGTGTGGGGCGTGGGGGAGGCAGTTGATCAATGTTTCTCTCTCATCATTGATGTTTCTATCTCTCTCTCCCTCTCCCTTCCTCTCTGAAATCAATAAAAATATTTTAAAAATATGTTTATTATTTCTTCATTTCTGATACAAACCACTTTATTCTTCTTAGCAGCTTCAGCTCAGCTCTTTCACTTACAGTTTTTTTTGTAGTTTTTTTTTTTATTGATTTCAGAGAGGGAGAGAGAGAAAGAGAAATCTCAATGATGAGAATTATTGATCAGCTGCCTCCCGCATGCCCCACATTGGGGATTGAGCTTCCAGGCATGTGCCCTGACTGGGAATCCAACCGTGATCTCCTGGTTCAGAAGTCGATGCTCAACCACTGAGCCACGCCAGCCGGGCAAAAATAAACATATTTTGAAGTGTAAGTAGATAGAAGGGTATTTACTGCAGCACTATCTATAATACTGCTGGGTTTCTTGAGCAGCTGCAAACCTCTGGAATACTTGCTCTGTAAATCAAATCAATCATAGCCATGTTTTTGTTGCAGGCACACAATCCTAAATGAGACAACGTATTTCTTCTGTGTTCTTCTCTGTCTCCATCTTTCATTTTCACTTAGCGTTGATTACTTTTTAAAATTTAAAACGATTACTGGAAACAAAGAATATTTTGAATGTTGGGCAGCTAAAGAAGAAAGAGTAATTAAGACAGGAGTTCAGCAGAGGGCACAAAATAATTTGTGAAACATGATTTCATTTGCAGAGGGCAGTCATTTTATTATGACCAGGATGTTAAACACTTGACCAATCTACGTTTTATTTTTATAACAAAAAGACAACTAGTAAAAGAGTTGATTTTAGGAATTTATTATTTTTTTTAAAAAAAGCAACTTCCAGAGTTCGTCATTGTACAGGCTTAGCCCGGTCTCCTATAGCATGGTACAGCGATTACTAATTGTTTTTTAATAATGACTCAGAGGCACTGGAGATCCATAACTGTCTTCTGAATTATCACAGAAAGAAAAAAAAAAGACTTAGAAGAAGAGTTTAATGTTAAGTGTATTTAAAAAATCATATTCTAGTTCTTTTAAAATGGTTATCCAAGTATGATAATATAGTAGAGCTCAGATAACTAGAAAAGGCAACTGACCAGAACACCCCCTTCCCACGCGGTGTGCATTAATAGGCACTTTACTGCTTACATCTTTATATGGTTTGCAAACTAATTCAACCCATTTCACACAGCATTAATTATTTTTTATTAAGTTCGCATTGGGCTGAAACCGCTGCTCATTATCTCACAATTATTATTATTATTTTTCCTGATTTTTTGATGGTTTCCCTCATCTGACAGTGTTTGGACTTTAGTGTGCATCAAAGTTTGCGAACATCTCTGCCCATTCTAGTGATATTTACAGTGAGGTTCCCCATGGCCAGGTATCCAAGACTGTTCTTTAATTTGTCCCCCAGCTCTGTTCTTGACCTTGGGAAAAGAGAGACCTTGTGTCTCACTGGAATATGTGCCAAGCTCCAGGCCAGAAGCTCCTGGTCATTAACAGAGGGGACCCCTCCAGGCTTTTATTAATGCTGTGCAAACAAGGGTCTCGTCGTTTCAATAACTATTTGTACATTTATAAAAGCAATACAGTCATGGGAAAAACCAACAAGCACAGCTTGGTAGAATAACCTGCCATGAAATATCATTGGCTTTATAATAATTTACTACAACTGTTCTTTTTATTCACACTGGATAGGAAATGCTTCCATCTAACACATGGAATACGAATATATACAACAAAATGTTGGGTTTTATTATATAAAAAAAATTCACAAAGACAATAACATGGGGGGTTTAAAAAATAATTTTGTGCAGTTTCCTGATCACAATCATATGTCTGCTGCCTTTTACAGGGAATGATACAAGTACTGATAGATTTTAAAAACCAGTTAAAGAATTTTCCTGCCTGTAATAGCCTACTCTTAAAATATTGCCTTGTTCATACAGTATAGGTGTTTTTCCTTCTCAACTGTAATTCTAAATGACTATGGATGACACAATGAGTCAGTTTTAAGGACAAACCCTGCCAATCCTCTTCAAAATCATCATATATTTGCAGTTCCCTATTTCATCAAAAAGTTCACGAAACAACATCTCAGAAACTGCACAGGGCTTCTGATTGATGTGCTGTTGAGATCCTGAATGTTGCATTCACACCCGATTTTTTTCCACAACGTCAGCATCTCAGCTTGAATTTTCTTAAGGCCGCAGTGAGTCAGTCATGCGGCAGCGGTGTGGGGTGGACTGTCTTGTACTGCCAGCAGTCAAAACAGTTGTCATGGGCTCAACATCCCTATACTGTGAGCCTGGGGGACCCATTCTTCTGTGGAATGGTTTTCTGGAGTCCAGCAATGTCCCTGCAAGTGTTTGAGACATCCTGGCTCCTACTTCATGAAGGACTATACTAAAGAAGAAGCCTAGTATTCTAAAAATAGACAATACAGGCCAGGTTGGGGGCAGAGGGTGGGGGGAGGGGGAAGGGGAAGGTTGCTTTCATAAGTCCTGGACACCATCTCTGATTTTAGCTCTATGAGAAGTGCTGGGGGATTCTCTGGGAGTGGCAGGCTGGGAGAAGGGCTGGGTCTGAGGTACACTTGGAGAAGTGTCTGTTTGGCATCGACACTGCACATTTAGTACCTGTAGTCTAGGCACTGTGCCTAGATCTATTTTTCCCTGACTGTACCTTTTTTGCCTAAGGGTTTCCCCATTCCCCCATGTTTGTTTTGTTTTCTAAATAGGTTTGGGCAATAGAGTTCCTCTCTCTCTCTCTCTCTCTCTCTCTCTCTCTCTCTGTAATTCTAATAGGTGAGGGGTGGTTCTTTGGAGTTGTAATTTGAGGACTGTGGAAATCATTGGGCTACATGGGAATAGTGCTGTGATTGATTAGCAATGTCTGTCGTGGCTAAAAGAATAGGTGTTTATGGAATGCATGCCAGGTCCTTGTGTCTCTGTTCTAAGAAAAGTGAAAGAATGAGTCTGGCTTGATGGATTCTTGGAGGATCTTTGGAGACCAGAGCCCAAAGCACTGCATTTATATTTATATTCTACTTTGTTCCTGAAAAGATTTAAGGAGCTTGGGAGAGGAATTTTAAGAACTGTGGAAAGTTGGAGGACGAGATAATTTTGAATAGGTTGGTGCAGGAGTCCCTCAACAATGGCCCTGTTTCCACCCCTGGGTGATGAGACCCAATGTTTACAGTGGTTCTCAACCTTCTGGCCCTTTAAATACAGTTCCTCATGTTGTGACTCAACCATAAAATTATTTTCGTTGCTACTTCATAACTGTAATGTTGCTACTGTTATGAATCATAATGTAAATATCTGATATGCAGGATGGTCTTAGGCAGCCCCTGTGAAAGGGTTGTCCAACCGCCAAAGGGGTCACGACCCACAGGTTGAGAACTGCTGGTTTAGAGTGTTTACAGGGCTTCTGCTCACAAAAGATTCAGAACGACTGGGAGCAATGGAGTGAGCCCCAGGTGTGGTGGAAATTCCAGGCAGAGCATTTCTGGTGTATTGCCTCTGGGTCAATAGCTGATAATAAATTGTGAGTATGTTGAAAAGCCAAGAAGAAATCTACTTGCACCCACATACGTGCCTTTTTGGGGTTAATCAAATAACCAGGTGATAGTTTCCTTATTATGTCAGGACCATTGTCTCACAGCTCTATCTAGAAGTCTCTGGTGTATAACTTTCCCAAGAAAGAAAAATAAAATCAGTGAAATTGTGTGGTAGGTGGTAGTGGTGCCATTTTGGGAAGATCAACTCACGTTTATCTCTGGAAAATGGGATCAGTCACTTCTTCATATCTCAAATGATTTAAACCAAAGCCAATCTATATTTTTACCGTGAATCATTAACGGGTTGCTCATTGACAATGTATTGTCTATGATTTAGGGGACAATGTCAGGCCAAAGCCAGCCACCAGCTGCTGATGGCTGTGGGTTTTAGAAACTGTCTGATGCTCCCGTCAGTATGCCCCTTATCAATGCACACACCTGACTCACTTACACAGCAACATGGCAACATACCTTTTTCCATCAGTAAACACCTGCTCTCTTCCTCACTTGGAAACTGGGAGAGTTTGGAAGGAAAATATGGTGTGTTTTTACTCCTCTGAAAATCCCAGTAAGACATACTTTTGGATATCTGTCTGATGTTGAGTTTCTTGCCACAGTGGCTACTCCAAGCTTTCCCTAAATGAGTAGGCAAAGGGTTTCCACCTTCCTGGGTGGTGCACAGGGTTGAGGATTCCTTGGTTTCTGGGCCAAGGGTCCAAGGTTAAATGATGGAGTTGGAGAGAAGGCGAGAAAGCAGCATTTAGAAACTCAGCAATGTTATTTCTTATCCGACTCCTCATCTCACCCTCAGAGAAATGATTTCTTATTGGTCTCCATGAGACACAATCCCATTTAGAGCATCTCAGCAGTTTCACTGTCTCTGGAACCTTCTAGAGGTGATGGCTGGCTGGCTATAATTGTGACTGTGGTTGCCTTCTCATTTGTTTTCAGGCATTTCAACATTTCGATTTCTTTCCGCTGATCACAATTTTCGGCATATTGGCATTATAAACCAGTTTTTAAAATGTGTGAACGTTAGTGGGCTTTGTCACCACTCATTTCCAAAGCAGAAGCCTCCTTTAACTGGAGAGACTTGTTCTAACACCACAGAGGAGCCTCCTCCCTAAAGTTTTTGAGAGAGCCCAGAGCATGAACTTTGGGTTCTAGACCGAAGGCCTAGGAGGAGGCCGGGAGGGGGGTGGCGCCCTGTTGGGAGGTGGAGCCTGAGGGGGAGGG